AAGCCAGGAATATAATCAAGGAGCAATATATTGAAAATTAATATTACAATTTTGTTCTATAACGGCCGACTGGGAAAAAATGTTATTTAAGACTAAAATACAATGGGGATAAAGGGAATGGTACAGTTTTTGGAGAAAAATGTGGGTAAATCAAGAAAACAAGGCATTATAAAAACAATCCAATGGTGACAAGGAAATTAAGGTGAGGGATGCTAACTCCACTTCTCAGATGATATGGAGAAAATAGGAACCAAATGGTTATAATGTGTAACTCTGCGTGTTTCTATTCAAACATGCAGGAGCCTATAACTACTTTGTATGTGATGCTGTATTTAAACAGCATGTTAAAAAGAGAAAGTATTATACTCTTTCAACACGAGCTTCACAAGACAAACTTGATATGAACATTCATTCAACATTAATTATGTTTTATTAATTAGAATAGGCTGAACTATTGCTGTTTAATTTTCCACCTGACTTGAAATTAAAATTATAACATTACAAATAAATTAAAATTATTATCACCCATTTACAACTTCTGATTAAATTTATAAACTATACTTTACTTAAATGGTCGATCAAGAAAATTTCAATTCTTATATTTCAGGAACACTGCAATGAGAGTTTTGTCTACAAATTCGATACTCTGTAATTCTCCGCTAATATTACAGCAACATCAGCCCATCTAGATAACAGTGTTTTCATTCTCTTTAATTTTTTGTGAGGGTTGTTTTCTCTCGTCTGGATCTTTAAGATTAGAATCTGTGAAGTAATTTGGTTTCTGGCTGCATTACACGGTTTTTGTAAATCATCTTGTTGTTGAATGAATCTTCCGCTATAAGACCAACAGTAGTAGACAGATTGCTCTGTCGAACTCCCCAATCAAACGAGAAGCAAAAACAAAACCCTTGTTCAGTTTTTTGAATGTTCATAGCTTCTTCCCTTCAAGGTTTTACCGACAGTCTGTATAAATAATTGCTTTGATTAGAATTCAAACAAGCATATCATTTATATATTTGTTCCTTACATTCATGAAGTTTATCTGGGAAATATGAGCACCGAGACAGAATTTCAAAATACTCAACAGGTTCCACCCTCAGGGCCGATCACAGATCAGAGCTCTTTACCCCTCCTGTACAATATCTCAACAGGTAACGCCCTCAGGGCCGATCACAGATCAGAGCTCTTTACCCCTCCTGTACATTACCTCGCTTATAGATTACTGTGATCAATGTTTATCATACTTCTGCTTTGGAAGGGATTATTTTAAATTGGTTATGATGCTTTGATGAATTTAAAGTTAATTATTCATATACTACATGTCCTTACGATGTTCAATACAGTAATAATTTTAAAAGAATGATAGTTCTGTTGGTTGTATATGTGCATGATATACAGCGGGTAAACATTTGTTTGTTGCTTGTTCAAGTCCCTTCGAGGATTTTTCACTCATATTGAGACGCCACCACTTGCCGCTGTAGGTCTACAAAGAGGGTGTTGCAGTTCTTTTGTTATTTTCCCTAAAGTTGTAGCAGTTTAAAAGAAAAAATTTAAGTAACAGAAAACGGTCTTAAATTTTTTAAGATACAACGGTATATAAAGCACAATGTAGAGCAATATTTAGAAACTGCATATCAACTTCCAATTTGCCCTTAAATGAAGTGTAAATTAGTCACATAGCAAAATAAGTCAAGATTTCTGTTTTCCAAATAGGGAATCCCCATTGCTCTGAAAAATTGCCTCCTTGAAACAGAATGAATTTGATATACGCATAAGGAGACAGGATTTTTCTTCAAAACTGCCATTTCCGATTTTTGTTTCAAAGAGGCATATTTTTGAAAATCACAAAAATCGAATAAAAATTATTATCCATCCGAAATGCAAAATGTGCACATAAAATAGCACATGAAACTTCAGTGTCCGAGCTGGTCTAGTGGTAAAGCGTGTGGACTCTTAACGAAGATTCTTTTACCTGAGAATGGGTTCGAATCCTGGAATAGTTGGTATATACATATTTTTTTTCTTATATAATGAAAGTACAATGTAACATCTCTCTTGAGAGAGAGGGAGAGAATGTCAGAAAGTTAATGGGTTAAAATGCATGCAGAATTAAATTGTTTTCCTTGATATTGTGATCTAAAAGAAATAAGACATACATTTAATGTTATTACTTAGTGGCGATGTCTTAAAAAATAAAGTACTATTATTTTAAATAATTTAATTTTTTTCATACTCATTTCGTTTCATTATTGTTCTGTTAATTAGTGGCTCAGATTTGACTTGAAACATCTAAACTGAAATGACTCAATGGAATTTCTTGGATATTGCATCAACAGCATGATTGTTGGACACATTTTTATATGTTGAAAATTATTAACGCACGCTGTCTACAGTACATCTTTCAAAATGATGTGCGAGGTGCACTTTCCATGAATTGTGCTTTTTATCGTTCTAACTTTTGTCGTGCAATATGGCGACAGTGACCATAAATGTGAAAAAAAAGTTTACTTACAGATCGCCAGTCTATGTTAGGAAAAAAATATGCAATGAAATAAATTAAACGTTACTGACTTGAAAGTTAAAACCTCTAAGGCCTTTCTTTAAATGTTTTTATATAACAAGCTGGACATACCCGTCGTATAAATAAAGTCATCTACGTAGCATTATCTATATTTAGAGATAACTCTTCATGCGTCGTGGGTATTTAAATGTCCTTCTCGATATAAGGAATAATCACGAGTTTCTACAACACCCTCTTTAGACCTGAACTAGGCACTTATGGCTATTGAGCAGTGAGGGAACTTTATCGTGCCTGCACTTACTGCGACACGGGACCTCGGTTTATACGGTCTCGTCCGAAGAACCGGTCTCCGCGTCCCGGAGTGGGATTTCGAACCAACACGTAAGGATCAACTTCTTACTCAGCGACTCTAAAGCAAACGCTCTAACAACTGCGACTTAAATAAATGACCCTATAAACATTTCCACACTTAAGTCTGGATTAAAACTTAGAGGAATTTCAACAGGAATGTCAGTGTTCTAAGCTGTCTTCAAAATCAACCAAAGGCAAAAGTGGGCTTTTATTACTAATTATTTAGTCTACTTCTTTAAAATAAATTAGTTGACTGAATCAAATTTACAAAACATCTTTTTTTTCAATTTTATATGAAAGCAATCTCATGTCTTATAGTCTTCATCAAACATGGTCTGGAGTCATGGTAGAATCAAGGAAGGGTTTCAAAGTTTGAATACATGCAATATTTGGTCTTTTAAAGAAGAACAGTGCTATGATTTGATATGCAAGTTTCATGTTGTATGCTGTAGATAAAAAACTTGTAGACCATAAGAAAAGGTTTTAAAATCTACAAAGTCATTGGCCAAAAAGAAATAGAAACTGTCGCACTTTGTAGATCTTCTTGTTAATGCATAACATATGAACAGCATTTAAATAAAAAAGAAAAACATATATTTTCCCAAATAATTCTATATTCAGTTAGAGACCCTAAATGATTAACTTATCTTTGACAGGAAGTCTAATAGATCCTGATGTAGAGAAATTAAACTGTTTCAACCAGAGCCATTTATCTTAATATTAGAACCTGTCACGAAGAACAATTAGAAAATGATATTTTGACGAAATATCAAAAAGCTTAAATTTTTGTTATCTTTACGGTATTACACCAGGTACATGTGATGTATGTGTGTTTAATTAAATAACTGAATTAAATGAACGGCTGTACTATATATACACATAGCTATACATGTATATATTTACATTTTTTAAGACTGAACTGATACTTTCATATATCAAAATTACTTCTTGTGTTGTAGTTATCCTGTTTTTGAAGAGATGATCTGTAATAAAATTTGCATTTTTTTTTTAAATCGACGTATCCTTAAAAGGATTGCTTTAAATCAGTTGGGATTTTCTAGCCAATTTTACACTAAATGTCTTGCAATCAGGGGTTTGCGCTCGAAAATTTCATTCCATTCCTTCAAAGTTTAATGTGGCTTTTCTCCGATATTATCAGGAGACTTTCTGCACGAAAACCTCTTGTCCAAGACTTCTGTTACGTCAACTTGAATAATTTTACAATTAAATGTCGATCTTTCCCTGTAGATCAGACAAATATTCATATCAGCAGATTACGTGACATACCACAGACATTCTAAAAGACAATGAGGTGTATGTACATTCTTTTTAGTCATCGAATATGTACTATACGTACACAATCATTCTTTCAGCAGACTATATTTAAGCATTAAATCATTTTTGTTTTTGAAAAATATAGTCTCATGTCTGTAACGGTGTGTGCAAACAAGTTGAGTAACGCGCGTTACCGAATTATGAAAATTTGTTTGCACACACCGTTGCAGTTATATATGAGACTATATCTTTCAAAATGCTTATATTCACATTTTAACTCCTTGCCTTGACTGCAAATGTCATATATATTTCAAAATTCCTGTATTATCTTTTGGGTAAGTTACAGTTAATGGAAGAGCCATTGCAACAGCTTCTGATCAATGTGACCGTGAAATTTGATTTTTCGCTTATGACGTTGCACTTCCACGGCGTTCAACGTTTGTGACGTCAAAATAAAAGGCATACTTTAACCTTCTGACCCCCCTGTCCGTGTTGTCGTAACTTTCCTCACACTTTTATTTGAAATGTTAATATATTTTAAAAAGTGCACACGTCATGTTCTGTCATCGTAAACATTGGAGGTATCTGACATGTCACATTTGTGAAACACACATAGGAGTTCACGGCCCATTTTGTTTTGTCACAATAAACTTACTGTAAATACAGTAAAACCTGTTTAATCAGATATGCACTTTTGTGTCTGAATAGACAAGATGTCCGATTATACAGTATAAAAACACGGACAATAGTTCAATGGGAAGGGAAATAAAGGTCGGATTTCACAATGAAACACAATTGCACAGGTGTCGGATAAGACAATTTTCATTGTACATAAAAAAGAACCGTATTTTACCTTCCGCAGTGGTCTCTTTCTCTTTGAGTGTAGAACTATGACCTTCGTCCACAGTTGGAAATGTTTCCTCCACCTCATAGGTGGACCTTCTCCCCAGGAGAATACTGCGGATGTTTCCGTAGTACGAGGATAAGCGATCGCCCAAAGAAGCCCTGTGAATAGAAGTGACAATTTGAATTGTAAATCTCAAACGTTAACATCCACGGGATAGATCACTTAAAACGTTTATAGTTTTTTCTACGAAACAAATTATACTTATTCCCTATCAATGAAGTATTTCAGATTTTATCCATTTCATTAATGGATGTGCACATGATATTTTTCTCTGATATTCAATATTTTATTAATTTACTGTAGGAGTCACAGAAGCCCTTTTAGAATCTATCAACAAATAGTTTTGAATTCGTTATAACAAATTTTGGAATTCGTTTCAACGAAATTAGTCTATTGTAACATTTTTTTTGGAATTTGCTGTAACGAATTTAATCTGTTATAACAAATTTGAACGAATTCAAAATTTTTTTCATAACACATTAAATTTGTTTAAACAAATTCAGAAATTTGTTATAACAAATTAGATAAGTTTAAACAAATTCTTAAAATTGTTATAATGAATAAATTTTGTTAAATTGAATTCGACATTTAGGATCTATAGAAAAATATTTATGAATTCTATATATTGAATTGGTTTTAAACGAATTTAATTTGATGTAACGAATTGTTGAATTCGTTACACTGTATAATGAATTGAATTCGTTATAGCAAATTTTTAAATTCGTTATAACGAATGCTACAAATCTGTTGTACGTTATAACGAATTAAAAAAAATGTTATCACGAATTAAATTCGTTCTGACAAATTCGACAACTCGTTATATCGAATTAAAAAATTATTTTGATACAGTGTAGGTCCTAAATGGGCTTCCGTAAACCTCAGAGAGTAACCCAAATGTTCAGAGGAGGTGTCTCTATATTTTCAATGTCCTTGAGGAAACATTTCAGAACATATATCTATCGTCTGACTCTCCCAGATACTACAATGTTGTTTCGAAAAAAAAAATCAGATCGATTTTAATTAACTATTCTTTGTTTCTTTACATTGTATTTTTAGTAAGTAAAACACAACTCAAAATTGACGCTGAAAGTATACTATTTTGCTCAGTACTAATGGACAAAAGAATAGAACAAAGGATGTTCCAGAAGGTTCCAGATATATATACATCGTATCATTAAATATACACAAATTATCTGGATAGCAAAAACGTGAGATGAAGAAGAGGAAAACATGTCGAACGATATAATTGTATGATATTTTCATAATACATCATTAGTCAAATTTGGACAGGTAATATGATTTTTGAAAGGGATTAACTATTTACATGGTTTTATAAGACATGAAAGAGATTTAAGTCAAGGAACGATTCTTTAAGAATGTATTAGAAAAGACATATAATAATTTGGTAAATAATTACCGACCTGTGTAAATATCTATTTTGCCAGATGTCATCAAGATTATCGAACGACATGTCTTCAAATATCCATTAACAGTTAATTATAGATAGTCACTCAGGTTATAGATCAAGTCATTCATGTCAGCCTGGGTTTAAAAAACACGGGTATTGTTTATTGTCCTGCGTCAGGTCTTGAGGTCTTTGATACAGTCAACCATGAATTTCTTTTACACAAGTTAATGTCTTTTGGAATTAGCCACAAGACTTCATTCATGGATTCATATGTGTTATCCAGCAAAAAATATCTTAAGGTGTTCCTCAGGAGCCAATTTTTGTATAATAATTATTATTATATTGATTTGTATATAGACGATTATCCAAAATGATTAAGGCATTCATTAGTTACAATTTATGCGGTAGCACCTCACAAGACGTCATTGATAATTAAATGTAATGATAGAACACAGATAAAAAAAATGATTAACTCAGTATCATCTCTTTAAAAAAACACACACATGATTGCTTATATTATTGCACATGTAAAAGGTTGCAAAAATATAGAAAATTGAGCATCATTTTTTTGGGTGTACAAATTGTATTTACATGTACCTACTTGGAGTTTCTTAGCTTCTCCATGCAGGCGTGCCACATTCTAAAATGTAGTTACAATGTTGCTTTATTTTTTTTCCTCTCTGTTTTAATACTTGTATACTAGCTTTTATATATTAATATGCAGGGTTACAATCAAACTAGATGTTGTTAAAAGACAGTAATACCCAGATTTACGTGTTTGCCTCTAAATAAACTCACCTTCATGTTTGGGTAACAAGGTAAGAAGCCACAATAATTATATAATTTACAAAAAAGTAGGTTATCAACCCTTAATCGACCCAAGGGGGGAAAACGAAGTTCCTAAACCTAAATGCACATCTACAGGACACACCCAGACTTCTGGCAAAATATGATTGGTCTACTGTTAAAAATATAAGAGGAGATCGGGAGACCAGAGTTTTGTTAAAAAGGAAAAAAAAAATCATTTTTTAACCCCCTTCTGGCCCTCAAAGTGAAAATCAAATTTCTGAAACCTTCGTTCTGAGAACCAGGTTTTTGCAGAAAAACAACATTTTTCGATCCCCATTCGTCCCCCCGGGTGAAAATCGAAATTCAAAAAAACTTATTGCATATCTACAAGACACCTCCACACATATTCCAAAATATGAATAGCCACTGTAAGAGAAATTCAGGAACCATTTTTTGTAGAAAAATGACGCTTTTTGACACCGAATTGCCCCCCAAGGGTGGAAATCGAAATTCAGAACCTTGTTGCACATCTATAGGACACCACCAATTATATTCTAAAAGATGAGTTGGCTTCTACAAAAAATGTAAGAGGAGTTCAGGGAACCAGATTTTTGTAGAAAATCTCCTTTTTTAACCCTCATTTGGCCAGTATGGGTAAAAATGAAAATTCCAAAATCTTTTTGCACATGTTCTAGGCTCCACCAATCACATTCTTAAAGATCAGTTGGCTACTGCTTAAAGTGTAAGAATACATGTAGTTTGAGGAAGAAAAAAGTGTGACAGACGGACGGACGGACCAGGATAAAAACAATATACCCAAACTTTATTTAGAAAGTGCGGGTATAAACAAAATGTTTGAAAACAACATGCATATGCTTTCGACATTATGAACACAGTCTCAGAACTTTTTTTTTTGTTTTTCCATCCTTTAGTAACTAGCCAGTACCACCATAGCACTATGACATCATCTATTTTGAAGAGCTTTTTATATCTACTTCTGCAATAGAAACAAGCATTCTGAGAGTATTGCATTAGCAACACTAGTCCCCTACCGGCAAGTGTAATCTGGTTCCCGTTAAGAATTGAAAATGCCATAATTCCGTCAAAAATGAATGAAGCGGGACGAAATGCAAACTTGATCTATAACTAATCAAGGTAAAGTCATATATCAAAAATCAGCTCAATATCTGAAAGCGTTTAGAAGAAAATTGCGAAAAACCCTTAAAAATTGAAAAGTCCGTAATTCCCTCAAAAATCAATGAAGCGGAACGAAATGCAAACTTGATCTGTAACTCTTCAAGATACACTCACATACCAAAAATCAGCTCAATATCTGAAAGCGTTTAGGAATAAAGTGCGGAAAACCAAGTGGGACAGACTGACAGACAGACAGACAGACTCAGAGGAAACCTATAGTCCCCTCCGGTTTCACCGGTAGGAGACTAATGAAATAAACCAACACATTATGAGGTTTGGATTTAATTAATACGATAAAAAGTGTCTCAACTCAGCAAACAATATAATTAAACTGATATCCGAAGGTATATAATATATATATATATATATATATATATATATATATATATATATATATATATATATATATATATATATATATATATATATATATATATATATATATATAATTTATAGTTCTCTTCATATGTAGATTTATCTTTTAATAGAAACACAAATAATAGAATATGATAACGTCACCATTTTATTCAACACTCTGCAGCAAGCGATATCACATGCATATATAGTCGACTGTCTGGAAAAGAGGTCTTGTACATTTACCGTATAGAACACAAATAAACTGCCTTCTGATTCACTATATTGTGTGGTACATCTACAAACAAATACATGATCCTTAATGTTTATCGATAATACAATGTTTTCTTTCGTACCACGCTTCCTCTTTGTATGCCACAGTACACGCGAAAATAATGATCCCTAAGCCATGTAAATATGTTTGCAATTACTCGGACCTAACTAAGATTAAAAAAATGGCTTTCTAATGTCAATCAAGTTTGATTTATATCATTCATCTGTTGATCATGTATAACATAGAATGTGAAGTAATATGTTTTCTGAAATGTTTCTAGCACATTCTACCAAGAGTTTATTGGCACCATGCATCAAGAGGGTTAAGTAGTCAACGGTTTTGAAACCCGCTGTGTTTTATCATAGTAAACGCGCTAAGCAGATCTGCGGGTTTTTTTTTCTTTTCTCAAATACATCATGATTTATAAGGGGATATTGATGTACGTAACGAACCCCCTGTCAGAAAAGTTAAATGCTTGTGTAAATTCAATTACAAGTCGTGTTCAGCTTAGAGTGATTTGTTTCCAATCATTTGAATGGTGTTCGATTGAATTTGTTGGTTCGCTATCTTGATTCGGTTGCAGAAAAATTGCTTATTCGTGTGAAAAATACAAACTACTTTCCAATGACCAGAGAAGTAAAAATAGAAGAAAAAAAGGAAATCACGAGAGGAATAAGAGATCTACAGATACTAAGATTTGTTTTTATTGCATGCAGAGCACGTACAAAAGATGAAAACTATTCGGCATTTATGGGAAGGTATGAAGAATGGTTTGTACAAAATACAGTGTACTAACCTCGTTGTTGGATTCACCTCGTATTTATCCTTTGAGTGCATCATTTTTGGATTCGGTCCTACTAAGCTTCCTGTAACACACGGAAGTCTAAATAACCATGTTTACCGAAACTTTCTAACTTAAAGAGCTTCTTCTTAGCATCTGTGAACCGTCTTATACCCATGCGCTAAAATAGCGAAACGGCGTCTAATGTCAGGAATTCAAGATGTTAGGGAAAACACCAAACAATGTTGCTCTTGTCTCTACATTAAGCTTGCATGTCTAAATTGCCATTTCCTTTTTGTGTTACGCTATCAGTTAGAAAGAAAAAAACATGGCACTGCTCTGGAGAAGAAATGATTTTTATGTTTATGATGAATAAATCATAAAAACTTTACAAAGTTTTGTTTCACATTAAGTATAGGATTTTCACTTTGAGACATATGGATGCAACCTAAATTACATCATATTTACGAGAAATGTTAAACAGGGAAGATGAATAACAAGATGCAGGCAGAGAGCCAGATTATTTCAGGGGTCTGTATAACCTCTGAAATATCTATGTAACATAGAGATTCTATACCACATTCACAGACAGGGGTATACATGTATTATAGCAGTCATTAATGACTGGATTTTAACGTTAATTGCGATATTTTAATTCAATCGGAATAAGAAAACACGCATTTTGAGGCGATAATTAACACTACGATTAAGTGTGCGTAATCATCGAAACATATTGCCATCTTATAAAAGCATAATTAATCATATTATGCACCTTATACAATCGTGGTGAGTCTTCTGTTTACAAATGATTGTTTGAAATAAATGAAATTGGTTTTAGTTATATGTCAGGAAATATAAGCAGCTATTATTTTTAGTTATATGAAAATAATTGTGCATAATTACAGCAAATTGTTGCATCTCAAAGATGAAAAACTCCGTCGGCCAGATTTTATCCCTTTTGAAGCTGGGCTGAAAATCTGAGCAAAGGTTATGACATGCAGTGCATTTGAATTAATATCTCTACATTACTTATTTTGATTTATTTAAAATTTCTTAAAGATCACTAGGCAAATTTCAACCAACTAAAAAAGGAAAGAAATTGGGAAAGTGGACTACTAGTATCTTTGTATAATGTTAAAGCAATGACAAATCTTGTGGAAAAGCTTCTTGATGGATTGTATATTTAGATTGTTTAAAACATGCTCTATTCAGGCATATGTGTATACATGTAAAGAAGAAATAATAAAGAATAAATGATAATCAGTGGACACATACATAGATGGGGATAGGAGCTCAATTGCTCAAGCATTTTCCTTAGAAAACAGCGTTGCGCTACCTCGGTTGCCTATTTGATGTATGTAAGCGTCACAACTCCAGTAGAATTCGGGGCCAAAATAAGCAGGAGAGGATAGAATTTAAATGTATTTTTGTCATAAATAAATGATTTTCTTGTGAACAATGTTGTAAAATTTTGATAAGTCATAAGTTCCATCGATGATATTATTGATGATACATGTAAACTCAATCCTTGTGTCCTACTATAGCTGGGTCTGATGCGCGCATTTATTTATTTTTTGAGTTTATATCTAATTCATCATTATTTGAATAATACACATTTAATTAAAGATAGCATTATTTCAATACTAGATATGTTGAATTAAAGATATCATTAATTGAATAGTAATCCCCGTAAAAGAATTATTGCGCACATGATATCATTGCTTCAATTGAAAAGAGCATTTAATCAATTATTGTGCATATTTATTTAATTGACTTAAAGATATTTCTTCTGTTGAAGAGAGTAATACATTATGTAAATCAATCACCGCGTGTAATAATTGATGAATAATTGTTGTATTCAAATTGAATTATTACGTGCATTAATTCCATATTTAATTAGGATACATTAAGGTACATTAATTCATTTGAAAAGAAAAACAGTTCAATAATAGCGCGCATCATGCGTGCAATACTGTACCCACACATATTTTAGTGCACCCAAAATTTAGCGCAATTTTTCTAATCAACTGATAAGCGTAAACTTTAAAAAGCGCATTTAGAACAAAACTTTTCATATATTTATTTATTTTTTTTAATAATTATATATCAGCGTTCACTTGATTTAGCGGACAAGAAGCAACTCAAAATGTGTTTAAATATGATTACTGCTATAAAAAAGGTATGTTTATAATCATGTTCCCAAACGAAGTTTGGGGACACATTGTTTTTACTTTGTCTTTTATTATAAAGGTGTTCCTTCTTCAAGGAAGATCTTATAGTGATTCTACTGTTTTTTTTAATTTATTGTCCCCCGCTTTCGCGAAAGCAAGGGGACATTAAATCTCATACATCTGTCTGTCAATCTGTCTGTCACCAAAACTTTAACCTTGGTAATAACTTTTGAATGAGAAGAGATGGGCTTTTCCTATTTCACATGTACATTATCTGTGACAAGACCTTTCCAAATATACATGTACTATGATTTTGACCCCGTGGCCATAACCTTGAAGTTTGACCTACTTTTCAGAAATTTTAACATTACTTTAAATTGGTCATAACTTTTATATGAGAAGAGATGGGGCTTTCATATTTGAAATGTGCATTACCTGTGACAAGACCCTTTCAAGTATACTATGATTTTTGACCCCTTGACCTTGAAGTTTGACCTACCATTAAAAATTTCATTTGGTCATAAAATTTGAAGGAGAAAAGATAGGGCTTTCATATTACATATGTACATTACCTGTGACAAGACCTTTCCAAATATACTACATATGGTTTTTAACCCCATGACCTTGAAGTTTGATCTAATTTTCGAAAATTTGTAAAACTTTCAGGAATACTACATCCTGATATTTGTAAATGAACTAGGTGGTTTCGTTCGTCTCCAGTACTTTCTGTCCGAACCGGAAGTGAATTTCTGTATTGGTCAATTTTCAACTTTTCTGCTTTTTTATTTTATTTTCGAGGTATTTTTATGCTTAATAGAGATAAGTGTATAAGTACCACCTGTATCATTTGTTTTGAAAAATCTGAAACTTAAAATATTTTAAATATATAGCTTAACCTCTGATCCAAAATGTGTAATTATATAATGAAAGAACTAGCTCTTTCTGAAAATTATAAAACATACATGTAATTTATTTTTGGATCATGGGTGGGGCCATATTTATTTATTATTATTATTGTTGTTGTTGTTATTATTATTATTATTTTTTTTTTTTTGCTAAAACACTCAAATGCACCCATTTTCTGCAAAATTGAAGAACTTTGCCATTTCACAAAGAACGTTTTTATTTTAAATACCTGAACGCTCAGAGGAAACTTTTTATAGGAAATCAAGGCACTAAGTCTCTTCTTTTAAATGATGTTGGACTGGTCACGGTACCTAGCCTAGTGGTAGAGAGCTCGCTTCGTCGTGATCGGGAGGCCCAGGTTCGATTCTCGTTCGCTGCGCCGCGTCAAACCTAAGACGAAAACATAGGCAGTGACTGTTCCTTTGCCAAGCGCTCGGTACTAGATGTGAAAGTCACGGGTCTTTCGGATGATACTTTAAAAACCGAGGTCCCGTTTCAAGGTAGGCGTTTGCACAATAAAGAACCCTCACTGCTCAATGGCTCTGAGTGCCGAGTATTGGTCTAGATTTGAAGCCCTTTACCTGCATACGGTGACGTCCCTATATATGAGTGAAAAATTCTCGAATGGGACTTAAAACAACATACAATCAATCAATCATTTAATTGATGTTTGAAATTGGACATTAGGTCTTGGTCAGTTAATTGGTATATGGGCAGGCCCATCTTAAACTAGCTCATAGCCTCAAAAAATTACATATACGATAGTTTCATTATTTCAGTTTATTCTAAAAATGAAATTCCTAAAACATTGTTGTTTATAAAGTTGTATGTATTTTTTTCCTCCAAGAAGTAAATCCCAGAGATGAAACAGATGACATCGCACCACCGAGGATGCAATTCCAACATCAACCCCATGCAGAAGCCGCCAAAAGCACAGCGGTCACCTCTCAGGCCACTTCAACCCCCAACACTTACTATGGATTTTGACGTGGTTTCTTATTGTAAACAAGCATTCGGAGAGTATTGCATTAGCAATACTAGTCCCCTACCGGCAAGTGTAATCTGGTTCCCGTTAAGAATTGAAAATGCCATAATTCCGTCAAAAATGAATGAAGCGGGACGAAATGCAAACTTGATCTATAATTAATCAAGGTAAAGTCATATATCAAAAATCAGCTCAATATCTGAAAGCGTTTAGAAGAAAATTGCGGAAAACCCTTAAAAATTGAAAAGTCCGTAATTCCCTCAAAAATCAATGAAGCGGAACGAAATGCAAACTTGATCTGTAACTCATCAAGATACACCCACATACCAAAAATCAGCTCAATATCTGAAAGCGTTTAGGAATAAAGTGCGGAAAACCAAGTGGGACAGACTGACTGACAACAGTGGCTGTCAGCTATCATCAGCAACTGTACTCGGCAATGCTGGTACCGGACATCCATGACTGTAGCTGCTCACTAATATCAAAAACGGAATGTCAGAGCAAGATTTTCCGGATTGTTCAAAGTATTAAACTATATGTTGTTAATAAAGTATGGATTGTTTTTTAATGAAAAATACGAAATATGTTAATATGGAGGAAAGAAAATTTCTGATTTTAAATAAATCTACTCTATGAAAGGCTGTAATCGCCAAAACGGTAACGATAACTAGCTTAGTGAATATATCGCGGAAAATATATGTAAGCTTGACTATGCCTAAATCCATTGCATGGATCGCTATAATCTCTAAAAAAGTAACATTTACTACAGCGTACATTTTGTATATCTATGACTGTATACCTGTGCCTGATATACAACTTCTGCGACTGTACCTGTGCCATACATACACACTATCACTGACTCAACCCGCGCTTGATTAACTCAACCCGCGCTTGATTAATAACACCCATAACAAAAAATTCTATGGATTTTCTTCGATTTAGATTTAGTCAATCAAAGCGCAATTAACGCTAATCTTTATATTACCCGTGACAGTGATACCGAGACAAACGATGTCAGCAGTAATTAGGGAAGGATCCAAAACTTTTACAGATTTAAATTTAAAGCTTTATGTTCAGAGTACAATTTGAGCCAGGTCTTTAATTTTGTTTGTTTGTTTGTTTGTTTGTTTGTTTTGTTTTTTTTTGGGGGGGGGGGGGGCATGATTTCAATATCCTACGTGCTCAATAATAATGATGAATTTAAAATGAAACATGCTAGTATAATTAAAGAAAATATACGAGTAAAC